CGACAGTTGCTATTAATCTTGTATAGCTGAATGAATCTCAGTTTTTTTTAGAATATGAATGCTGCTAGCGAGAACAGCACGGATGGACGTTCGGCGCAGTTCCGCGGTTCAGTAGCACAGGGTATCGAGCATCTGAAGGAAGTTGGCACTCAGATCCAACAGGCACTTTCTAATTTCGGTGATCTATCAATTCTATGGATTTTAACGAAAATAATTCGTATACCTTTATTCTGCATTTCGTTCAAAATAGGCAAAAAAGTGCTGGGAAATCTTGGGAGCGTAAAAGTTTTTGAAGTGTATATGTACATATGAAGTATGTACTTTATGCACAATATGTGTTTAGGGTCACAGGTCTACAAAATCACAAGAGCCGCAGCTTCGAACGCTTTTCAAACTGGCAGTTTTGTCTGTTTACTGTCGCATTGCATAATAAACTGTAAAACGAAGCTAATGTGCACCAACCAATTCATTTTAGGAATTGACGTTGATGTAGGTGTTCAGCATGGTGGAATTACCGAAAAAATTCCAAAATTGGAAAGTCCTGGCAATGAAATAACTGAACCAAAGAGAGAAGAAGTAAATCTGACTGAGGAAAAATCGTGCATCTCTCCTGAAGCCAGTGACGCGAAAAGTGAGGATGGCAAGCAAAAAAATGATTTGGATTCCAACGTAGTAACGGTTAGTTTGCAATGCTGGCTTGTAATCGTCCTTTTTTTTTGAAATTGCATTTATTTTATGGTATTTCGCTGTGCATAGAAGAGGCGGTAGGTACTAACTGGAGGTATGGAGGCCGGAACCAAAGGGTCTGGCATCGTTTTGCTCAGCGTTTGGGAGTATCATCATAACATCACTGACAGGGAAATCGCACGCTGATAGTGCGAGCGGTCTTAGGATTCTTGGTGTTTTCCTTTGAAAGTATGCTTTGTGGGAGGTCAGCTTTCAGTAATGTGTATGCAGTGGCATTCATCGGGACGCCAGTTAGGCTACGCGACGTTGTATTAATTTGTTGTAAGATACATGAAAACTCGCTGCTGTGCTTTGTCTTAATGGTTTTTTAAAGTGTTTAGCATATGAAGGCGCTGAAAACTCGCTTCCGTACCTGGCTTCTTTCTGCAGTTACAGTACCACTCTTTTTCAGTGCGTTGTCATAAATTAAGGTCCGTTGGGTTCTAAAAACCAATTTTACTTGTTTGGGTTTACATTGTCCTGTGTTTGAAGCATTAAAAAACTGTTTCACCTCTTTCGACAGCCAAATTGGCTTGAACCTAAAACCCGAGATCGCATATCAAAGCACAGATTTATTGGCGCCGTGGTATAATCGGTATCAACGGGCCCGGCATCTCACTTCTTATGACTCTGCATTTTCTTAAATTTTTCAGTCGTGCAAGAATCGCTTACTGGGGAGGGTCGGACTGAGGGAGGAAAGGAAAGGATGGGTAGGAGTGATTGTTACCTGTATTTTGCAGAATTTTTAACATTTATAGCTTCAGGAATTCAATGGTTTAGAAAAATCTCTAGAAAACTTACACATCACCAAGAAGTGCTCGGAAAACCAACCTGACACAGACGAAGCAACCAAGGAAGCTGATATGAAATCACCGGCATGTGATAGTGCAGCGGCTGTAGAGGATAACATTTCGGAGGACTGGACGATGTTGGAAAATATTAATAATTCTGGCAATAAAACGAATCTAGGTAATGGCAAGCAGTCATTGGCTGTTAAAGATCTTTTTTAGGGGTTCCGAGGTTAGTGATGTATGCAGCAGTAAATCCGGCAGTATTTGTGTTGTGTAAAAAGAAAAAATTTCTCGACATTTGATAGAAGGGACAGAGCTATGAAGAAGCGAAACTATAATGGCATTCTATTAACAGAAGCAGCCACTGGCACAGATGTCAATGACTTTTACTCAGTTTGCGAAAAAGCAAATTTGAAGACAATTTTAACATATTTTCTTGCGCCATACCAGTTTAATGTCGAAATATATTTGTGTGTTTTGCTTTTCCAGATGCATCGATATATCCCATTTTGAATAACAATGAAGGGAGATGCTTGGCCGGTACGCCTTTCATTTATCCACCACCTGGCCCACACAATCCCCATTGTCATTTCATATGTCCTGGTAAGTTTTTGTAGTTGTCTTCAGCAGAACGGCGGATCAGCGAGAAGATACTGTTCAGCATATGAAAATTGTTGCTTGATATTAAAGCATTATTTGCATTTGGTTATTATGCACTTTTCACCTTCTAACACTTTTTTTGACGACATTATTATGGAGTAACAGATTCATGACATAAACCGAAGAACAAATGCTGACGGTAACGAGGAG